ATGTGTCTGATTGTGTGTGTGTTTGTGTGTGTTTTTAGCTCTTAGGTGCCACGGCCATCGAGGATAAGTTACAGGACGGAGTCCCTCAGACTATTGAGCAGCTGTCCAAAGCTGACATCAAAATCTGGGTTTTGACCGGAGACAAACAAGGTATTCGGCCCCTCTAACTCAGATTTGCTTCTATCTTCTAATAAAAACTCACTGAAATGTTTTCTGACATCTGGAGATAATCAAATAGGCACAGTGGTTGTAAACAAACAAAACAAATAAGGAACAACAGTTTCAAGAAATTAAGCTTATTGTGACAATGCCTACTGGCATTCTCACTATTGTTTTCCTGTATCTCTTTATTATTTTTTGTTCCGTACGTTTTTCTGCATCTAACTACTAACTACCTAACCCTGACCCTATCAAAATCTGGGTTTTGACTGGAAACAAACAAGATATTCGACCCCTTCTAACTCGGATTTGACTGAACCTAAGTTTGAAGTGTTTTCTTACACCTGGAGACAATGAGATAGCCACAGAAGTTGTAAACAAACAAAACATATAAGGAACAACAGTGTCGGGCCAAAATAGAGGAAATAATGTGATCCTGGTTCCTGGTTCTGAACTGGACTGATGTGGTCCTGTTTCCTGGTTCTGAACTGGACTGATGTGGTCCTGTTTCCTGGTTCTGAACTGGACTGATGTGGTCCGGGTTCCTGGTTCTGAACTGGACTGATGTGGTTCTGGATGGTCTTTCTGGGTCTGGTTTAGACTCTATTCCTCTGATTCTGGCTGTTTTTGAGCTGGTAAAAGGCTGCTGATGTCATTGATTGAATGTGGCGGTTGAAGTTCAGGTCTGAGTCCAGTGTTAGCCCAGTGTGTCTGTTCTGTGTTGCAGAGACCGCGGAGAACATCGGATACTCGTGCAACCTGCTGAGGGAGGAGATGAACGACGTCTTCGTCATCTCCGGCCACTCGCACGAGGAGGTCCGGCAGGAGCTGAGGTCAGAGCTCAAATACACATAATAACCCCCAACATGGAAAAGTTTTTAACAGGGATGAAAAGAAAAGTGGAGAGAGACAAAGATAACGAGACAAAAGAAAGTCACTCGAAAGCTAAACTTGTAGTTTATTAGTTATTATAATTATTAAATATTATTTATTGGATTTATTATTATTATTATTATTATTATTATTATTATTATTATTATTATTATTATTATTATTATTATTATTATTATTATTATTATTATTATTA